TCTTGGAGATGATTTCCTACTTTGAATGTAGTAGTGGAGCAGAAATGGATAGGTGTTGCTTTTCCGTGATGGTGCCTATTTTATAGAAATCAGGCTTGCTTCCACATTGTTAACTTTCTGAAAGTTAATTGAAATTGTAGTATTTTTGATGCTTTAAGGAGGTTAAAATAATGCAGATAACACCCTTGATCAATTGATTATTATTAGTGTTCTTGTGGTTTGAATTGTTCTTATTTTGTACCATGAATGTTTTAAAATGTAATTGTAGCAGTTATTTATGCTTTGCTTGTTGTAAACAAAGAGACTGGTTGACTACTTGCAGTGGATATTAATTTAATAACCAACCAAATAAACAAATATTTCAGAAGAAGACAATAGCAAGCAATTTCCATTCTGTTGTGAAGAAATATGTTCATGTAGTTACTGGGCATTGTGCTTGACTCAAGAGTATCTTAAAAAGTAAATCTTTAGTTAAAAAGTAATCTTATGTCCTCCAGATGTTTTGAACTACACTTACACAGTTTCTGGTCATTGGTATACTGGCAGGAGCTGATGAAAGTTGATCCAAAACATCTGTTTTAAACTCTTTACAGATTTATAGTGTCTTATTCTGAGAGTCACCCTTCATGAAATACATTGCAAAATAAGGAAATGATTTTATTATACAAATATATTGCTGGCTTGCTTTTCAGAAGCTGACATGCTGAAGGATTAATCTGCACCCTGTTTTCTTTGTTAAACCTCATGGTCACTTTGATGGAGATCCTTCTGCTTTCTCATGAAGATATTAATTAGGTTTATAGAATACTTACTGTGAAGACTGGCTTAAGTACTAACTAGTTTTTTCTATACCATAACCTACTGTCTTCTAGAATGATTGGGATCCCATTGGAATTGCTGGCTGGGATTTCTGAAAGATGTAATCCTAACACATCAGGGAAGGTTACTTTAGATTGTGAACATGTTCTTGGAATGCTATCACTGATTATTGTGAAATGATTTTATAAATGTTTTAAAAACTTTGGTTTTGGTAAACTTTCCACAAAAATAAAACTAAGGATGTAATTGTGTATTTTTTCCTTTTCAGCTTTCCATGAATTCAAATACAGGGTTTCAAATTCAGGATTGTCTACTTAACTAAGGAGTAATCGAGCCTTTTTTTCCCTTACAGATTAAGATATGGACTTCAGAAAGAATAGAATAGAATAACAGAGTTGGAAGGGACCTTGAAGGTCTTCTAGTCCAAACCCCTGCTCAGGCAGGCAAATAGTTCTCTTCTTAAAAATTCCCATGTTGGAGCATTTCCAACTTTTGGAGGCAAGTTGTTCCACTGATTAATTATTCTGTCAGGAAATTTCTACTTAGTTCTAGGTTGCTTCTCTCCTTGATTAGCTTCCATTGATTGCTTCTTGTCCTGCCCTCAGGTGCCTTGGAGAATAGTTTGACTCCCTCTTCTTTGTGGCAACCCCTGACATATCGGAACACTGCTATCATGTCAGTCCTAGTCCTTCTTTTCATTAAACTAGACATACCCAGTTCCTGCAACCATTCTTTATGTGCTGGGATATCTTTTGGGATATGATGGACTATAAACATTCCAGGTGTGCTTTTAATAGAATGATGCTCAATCATTATTGTCAAAGAATATCCCATTTAAGTCAACTACAAGAATTCTATAATCTACTCTGAGTATTGTTATAGACATCCACAGCAAACTGTGATTACATCAAATTCATGACATTTGGAGGTGTATGTGATATCACGATGCACACCCTGCCCTTGCATAGTTGCATGTTGATGTCTGATGCTTGTTTTATCACTTGTCCCTGGCATAGATGCCAGCTGGTATTGCAGAGTTCTAGAGCATGTTGTACAGCAGCAGAAGGCAGAATATAACAGTGTTTTCTAAATATTCCTTGGTGATTAGCAATGCATAGGAGCAGTTTATGACCTTTTGTGTGGTGTTACATCACCTGAGAATGGGCTTTGAAAATATATCCCAACAAGTTCAACTCTAGAGAAAATTGAGAGAGAATGAGGAATTTTTGACTATTATGCTTACAAAGGAACTCCAATTTCCATCTCTGCGTAGTTTGAAAACCACAGCTATAGGAGCATTTGGGCTTTACATAACATTGTAAATTTTCCCACTTAATTATGGACTTAATTCTGAAAAGGTGATTGTATTAAACAGAAATTTGAAATAAATTATAAAATGGACTAGAAATGAAACAATGAAGTCATCTAGTGTAATTCATAGTAACTATGTCAAAATTAAGGACAGGTGGTTGAATTCTTTAGTCATCTGTATAACAGATGCAGGAGATGTCTACTATATTTATCCAGAAGGCAAATGTTCATTTCTGTAATTCACAGATGGTCAGTTTGAAGTCTTGTGGGAACCCAAGGCTGCTTGGAATGGCTGCCTGTAATTTGATGGCAATGAGATATCTGAATGGTGGGAGATGAAAATGATATTTGATATAATAACTTCAATCTCCTGCTCTTGATTTCATGTTTTGGCTCCAGAGCATAAATGAAAGGGCTCGTAAGAGTTGAAGGGTTTCTTGGAACAGTATGCAATGGGAGACAATAGACAGTAAGAAAAAGGAACCCATGCTTTCCTCAGTTGAGATGTTTACTAACTCCCAGTTCCTCCTTTCTATGCATAAAGATCAATCCAGAATTCAGTACTGTGTTTGGTCATTTGTGATCCTCTTGAAAAAGCTAGACATGAGGTATATAGTGGTTGGATGCAGAGTGATAGTTCCTTAAAAATGCCTATCATAAATTCTTACAATTCTACCCTACATCAAATCAGACTATTGGCCTTTCTGCTCGTATAATCTATACCAGCTTTTTCACACCTTTTAGTTATGCCAGATTTTTGAGAATGCTCCGCTAGCATGCCATTTGACCACTAGAATTCCCTGCCGTCAGCATAAGAAGTCAGAGAACTGCAGTTTAATACACATGGAAGGCATCAAACTGGGAAGACTGATTTGGTCGCTATATATTTAATGTACAAGAGGAATCAGATGGGGCAAAGCTAATTTGGAAATATACATAACTTTTATATCTGAGCTATCTTTTTTTTCTATCAGTAATATGATACGTTAAAAAATGGCTTTTAACAATATATCACTTTTAAGTTAGTTTTGTACCACCAAGGAAATTCTTGACTGGCTTTGAACAGTTTCAAGTTCTATTTCATTATGTTACATTTTGTAACATACATTTTCATTATGTAAATTTTGTGTCTGCTCAAAATAACTATTGGTGTCCTGGATGAATGCTTCCACAAATTAACAGTTTGAAACATAAGGATTTTTTCTGCCACATAATAGGTAGGTTTAGTCCTTATATTGATATTTCTCTTAGGTTCTTTTCTTGTGTTGTTTATCAAAGTTACTGCAACTTTGTTTAGAATGACTGGCCTTAGTGCAAGAATCTTTTAAACTTTGGGTTGGGTATGTATACACACATGCTTTTTTTTACTTAATTGCATCAATAATAAATCAATATATTTGGTATGAAGTAGTGTTTTTCTAAAATAATGAAATTTGCATGTTGAGCTGTTTTTTTCAGATCCATTAGAGTAAAGGAAATGATAGGTTAAGGATGATCATGTTTCCACCTCTGAATGCTTATTTATGCTGGAATGAGTGGGTAGCAATAATAACCCATATTTTGGAAGAGACACTGTTCCCTTTGCATACATGATGTAACATTTTTAAAAATTTTGTCCATGAGAGTTCCATGGATATTATAAGACAATAACTACAAAATCACTATCTTTGAAGGAGCTGTCTAATAATGATTTCATTCTTCTTATATTTTCATATTATCGTTAAAAGCTGCTAGGAATAAGCAATGAATAAAGTGTGTTCCATTTACAGAAAGCAAAGCAAAACAAAACAACAACTTTTGTTTTCATTACTTCTCATTATAGTTGCTGGCTGGGAAAACGGGCTCAAAAAGTCTGCGAGTTGAAGTCTATACAGCTGCCAAGCTTGAGATACACTGTACTAGATGATTCAGTAGATTTAATGTTGCATCTCTGAAAGATTTCATTCTCTTCAGATAACTTTGACCATGATAGGATGGGAACAAGATGGGAATCTAGGTCTTTTCAGCCTGGTTTTTAATGTTCCAGAAGGGGATATAGAAGAATTTTTATTAATTAATTTATTTGTTTGTCAAACATGTACAAGATAGCAGGTATAAGTATAATCATGGACATGAACAAAGGAAATGAATACAAATAAATGGGGACAGTAGGACAGGGATGGTAGGCATGCTGGTGCGCTTATGCACTCCCCCTTTACGGACCTCTTAGGAATGGGGTGAGGTCCACAGTTGACAGTTTAAGGTTGAAGCTGTGAGGGCTTGAGGATATAACAATGGAGTTGGGTAGAGCATTCCAGGCATTGACCACTCTGTCGCTGAAGTGAATGCTATCCACTGTGTCATTCTGTGGAATTCTANGGTTTGGGATATTCTATTTAATTTTTTTTTAACTTTTGTATTATGTGTTTTCTTTTAATGTTGTACACCGCCCTGAGTCCTTGGGAGAAGGGCAGCATATAAATCTAATAAACTTAAACCTAAACCTGTGGCAAGTTGTCCCATTCCACATCAATTGCATCCAATCATGCGTTGGGAAGGCCTACTCATGGAAACTAATGCCTTACTGGTGTCACTTCCCACTGGACAATCACAAGGCATTCTAAACAAACAAGTAGCTATTCTTCTTAAATTCTTATTAAAATATATATTTAAGAGCTCTAATCCATATCCCAATAGGTTTGTGTCAGTAGTTAATCAGATTCTTGAAAAAAATTTAAATGCTATCGGATCTTGATTCTTCCTCAGGTTGATTTTTTTTTAATCATCCCGTATAAACGATATCCCATTTCCCAGCCAGAAACCTTCCTGCACAGCCCTACTCAAACCAGGGTGCACTGTTCCTTTAAGACGCTGCCGTGCCTGTGTTGTACTGTCTCTTTAAAAGGCTGTATCCTCTTGTCCCTAAGCTTTTGAGAAGGACTATGGCCATTTTTTCGGTCCTCGTCTTTCTTCTCTTCCCCTTAATCTGATTGACTTTAACCACCCTCGTACCGATTTAAGAATTAAAAGGACGGCAAGATGGCTGAGATGGGCAAAGGAGTCACGGCAGGGAAAATAGCCAGCAACATGCAGAAGAAGCTCACCAGGGCCCAAGAGAAGGTAAGGAAAAAGGCAGGCAGAAGAGGGGGGGGGGGAAATCCGGAAAAATAAAATAAAATAACGGGGAAGACTCTTGGAGGTTAATCTGTAAACCCAGCATTTGCAGGGGGCACTTCCTCACCTCCGAGGAAGCGAAAACAAAACAAAAGGCTGCTGCTGCAGTTGCAATTGCTGTGATTATGTAGGATACGGGAGGCGGGGGAGGCGGTTGCAATGTAATGCACCAATTCTCCAACGCCGTATGCTTCCTTTCGTTGACATTGACAGCTCGGCCACGTTTTCTCTCCTGCCTTCGCCTTCCACCTGGTTAGCCCCCCGCCGTTGGCTCTCTTTTTTTTGGGGGGGGGAGTGTTGCAGTCGCTTTCTGATCCAGGTGCTCGAAAGGAGGAAATATCCGCGGGCGGAAAGACCCCCCCTCCCGCTCGCACTCGTGTTCTCAAAGACCCACCTTGGTTTAGACTAGACTAGACTAGAGAATACAACAGAGTAAGAAGGGAGGGGTTGGGGGACTACGGGCGGGGACGAAGACTTCGAACCTGGGGATGGGGGGGGGGGATTTCGGATTTCTTTCCAAATCAGCACCGGGGCGATTGCGATTAAAAGCGCAAGGTGGGAAGGGCCGGAACCTGGTCTTCGTTTTTAAAACACATCTGGAAAGCCTGATGGCTGTGGAATCTTTGGGATTGAGTGTTTGTCTTTTTTCGCCCCCCACCCCCGGTTAAATTCTCGGCCGAGGGGCGGAACGGCGAAGGTTATTATAGGCGGCCGCTTTTCTGTATGCTGCTTTTATGGGTCGAAAGATAATCCCCATCACCCCATCATCTCTGTCTCTCTGTCTCTGTCTCTGTCTCTCTCTCTCTCTCTCTNAAATAAATGGGGACAGTAGGACAGGGATGGTAGGCATGCTGGTGCGCTTATGCACTCCCCCTTTACGGACCTCTTAGGAATGGGGTGAGGTCCACAGTTGACAGTTTAAGGTTGAAGCTGTGAGGGCTTGAGGATATAACAATGGAGTTGGGTAGAGCATTCCAGGCATTGACCACTCTGTCGCTGAAGTGAATGCTATCCACTGTGTCATTCTGTGGAATTCTAGAAAGGTTAGTGATGGGCAGGCCTTCAGACAGAAGTCTATCTTGGGCATTAAGCATTGTCAGTCTTGCCTTTGAAAGAGGGCTATGTGCCACATGGTCCAGCCTACATTCTTCAGATCAGCCTGCTGGTATCCTGTTTGGTGAACACACCATAACTTTCTCAGTGTGGAAGCTTTGTATAAAATCAAATTGATTGCAGGGAGGCCTTCTGCATCTCAGTTGGTGAATCATTAGCCTTATTTTTAAAAGAAAAACTGGAGCTTCTATTGTTACAATAATTTATAAAACAAGAAAATGGCCCTTCTGTCTCTCTTAAGAGAAAACTGAGCCAGATTGCACACCCACCACTGCTTTGATTATGACATAATTAGCGCTACTGCACTGATTTATATTGCTCTTTGTAAGTCATCAACTCTAACCACTAAATGTATGGAATTAAGAATTTTTACAATTTGTAGAACTTGGGCTGAAAGTGATAGCAGAAGAAAAAGCTCAGAATCAGGCCTCTGTAAAATTCAGAAAAGCCTATGGTCATAGCAGAAGCCATTTATAATGCATAGAATATTGCTTTACATAAGAGGAAAATAAAAAATAAGTAAATTGCTAGTGGCATGTAGGGATTTTGGATATTCTAAAATAGCCCATGATATCAATAGAGCAAAGGGAATTGATAGCTCAAGTGGGCTGCTTATTGTGCATAAACAAGAGAAGAGGAATGATTCACCTTATCTCAAATTTTTAAAAATATTCCTCATTAATGGAATATATGTTTTTTATTTGTTTGCTGTATTATATGTGGAATATAATATTTCACTTAATAGTAAAAATGGAGTTGGAAGAATTTACAGAAGAGAATAGCAAGAAAGAAATGCATTTAGTTTAGTTTTGGCAACAAAAGTATACCCTTAATGATCCCCTCTAAATATATTGTCTTTGTGATATTTCCATAACTGACCACTTAAGAAAAAAGGCAACTTCCAAATTCTGAAATATTTATAATCTATGAATTAAATGCTGTAGATTTCTTTCTAGCTGCTATTTGCTAGTTGCTTACTCCCTTTGAAAACCAAGGAACATAAATATTTTAGGAATTGATTTCAAGTTTAATCAAAAAATGTGTTTTGGTGAAGAACATGTAGATTAGATCTAGGTGGATACAAATCATGATTTGCAATCATGATTTTCAAGGACATTTAATTGTATGTAGGTTAAAATAGAAATAAATGACTATTTCCTCCCACTTTCCCTAGTTCTACTGCAAAATATATAGAAACTCGGGATAATTAGAGATGTGTAAAGTGTCAATTTTTACGTAGTCAGGGAGAAACAAAGCAAGAGTAAGCCTATATATGAAAAACTATGAGAAAGCTTGAAACTGTCCCTCCTGCACAAAAGTGGGGAGCAGACTGTCTGTTAAATAAAGCGATAAAGTGTGACAGGTGCAACAGAATATTTATTTATCATATTTATATGGCTGCCCATCAATGTTCCCTCTAATTTTTTTTCAGTAGTGAGCGGAAAAGTATAGTGTTTGAGCGGTACATTTTCATGCCTGAGCACCTGAATTTTTTTCACAGATGTCACCTAAGACAATAACGAAATCAGGTGCTCAGGCATGAAAATGTACCGCTCAAACACTATACT